CCTCCCATTTGAACCAGAAGTACTTGAAAACATAAACTGAAAACCGTAAGCACAAAGATTAGTGAGCTCCCAAAAATACCACATACCATACATAATAAGCATATAATAGGTCTCACCCGTCATCGGGCCCCGCTCGGTATATAGATCTGTCAGTCATCGGCCCCACCCGGTATGCATATAAACATATAAACAGATAAACACATAACACATGCAATAATCACAAAGATAAATAGCATAAACAATGGTCATCGGGCCCCATCCGATAAGCATACAAGCACATAACACATGCAAGAGCCACGCAGACATCCAACATCCTAACATAACAAACCATGAGCCGACATTGGTGCCTTCAAACTGCTAAACACAGTGAGGAAACTCACCTCTAGCTACTGAAATATGCAAATGAATCTCTGTCTGCTAGCCCGAAAAACCCACGCGCTATCATCATCAAAATAATATCCAATTATTAATTGGACCTCGACCCATAACCAAGAATCTAAGCTACTTAAACCATAACTAGGGTAAAAGACCATTTTACCCTTTTTCTTACTTGGCCCAAGACCAAGGCCCAACCCAACCACTTAAAAGGCCCAAAACCTAAATAGCAACCCAAAGCTCAATATGACCCAGTCTTCCAAATTGGGCCCAAAACCCATCATGGGCTTAAATCTAAGGTAGCCTAATATATTAATCAAAAGCCCAAAATCAGAAGGCTAATGGCCCAACAAGGCCCAGAAATTAGAATGTCCACACTATGGCCCAAACCGAGAAGGCTAAGCCCAACCGCCCAACTGTTGAGTATGTGGGGCGTACTCGGCTCGTACGTCCAACGTACTCCCCTGATTACTAGATTTCTTCATTAGGCACTTAATCAGTTAAGACCTTTTGCCAAACTCTCAGATCTAGTCCTAAAGAGTGGCTTATCACGTAAAGTTGCCAACTTTACACTGATGCATGCTTAATGGGACCCAATACTAAAAAAAAGCTTAATAAAGATCTTAATACATGTATGGACCAATGTCCTCCATAAAGTTTGCATTTTTATGAACAATGAACCTTCATGGAGCTAAGATATAATATCCATTGCTTCTGGAGTAGATCAAAAGCTCAACTTTAACTCAAAAGACTCAAAAATTCACAAATAACCCCATAAAGTAGATCTAGCACAAATGACCATCAAGGTGAGAGCTTTTTACCTCAAAATGCTTGCAAATGTGAAGGTAATTATGGATTTACTAGCTTAAGCTATCCCTCCAAGCAATCACCAAGAGTTCTTCTTTTTCTTCTTTCACTAAAACACCACAAAATCACACTCACAAGCTCAAAATTCACAAGAGGCACTTAGGGTTTCGTTTTCAAGGTAAAGGGAGGTAAAAGCTGATCAAAATGTCCAAGAGGTGTTATAATGAGGTTTAAATAGGGAATAAACCCTAAAAATTAGGGTTTGACCAAACTATGCGTACGCCCAACGTACTCCCATGTATGCCCAATATACGTGGGTGATGCCCGCGACCATCAAATAACTAGTACGCCCCGTGTACTAGCCAATGACCAAAATGAAAAGAATTTGAATTAAAGGGCAAAAAGGAAACTTACCAAAAACTTGAATGTTACATGTACACTAACATACGTTATTGTATTTATTTGTAATGCTCGAGTTTTTTTTGTTAGGCATTTACGTATGTAATAATGTAAATGTTTTTAAGAATAAACGACTAAGAATTCTTCAAACATGATATGTGTTTATATAAAGGGTAATATATATATATATATATATATATATATATATATATATATATATATATATATTGATGGTTTTTGAGCAATACATCAATCTTATGGTGTACATGCAAACCCTAATAGCTTTGGATCTAGTTTGTCTAATGAACATGCAATTGATTATCCAAATCCATAAACCCTAGATCTAATAAAATATAACTGAAATTAGGGTTTAGATCTTACCTCTGATTGTTATATATCAATAACAATCAATCATTGGCTTCAGAAAGTTTAGTGCCTCAAGTGTTGCACCTCTAATGGAGTCACAAACACCACTAAGCAACTTGGATGAAGAGAGAAGAGAGAGGAGCACCCAAAATCATCCAGAAACCCTAAAGGAATCATTCACCATGTTTTTGGGGCTTAGGGGCTCCTTAAATAGGTAGGCAATTAGGGTTATCTAACAAGGAAACCCTAATTTGACTGCTTAAGCCCTAAGCAGTCCATGGACTCCTTTAGAAGCCTTGGACGATTTCTAATGGGTTTCCCCATAGAATTCGTCCACTCCACCTTCTATGGAGTCCATAAGCCCATTTATGTAATTATCTTATAATTACCCAATAAGTCCCTTAAGTTTAATTAATCTCTTTTAGCCACAAAATTAATTCTTTACTAATATTAATTAAACATTATGATTTCTCCTTTAATATATTATTCTTATAATATATTAATAAATCATAATTAAACGTCTCTTTCTTTAATTCATCCTACATATTGTTATGGTGAAGGCAACCCAAAAGGACCACGCTCATAACCAGGTCAAGTACATACCAAAATAGTTATGGACTTAGACACTAATCCAATAGTCTCCCACTTGGATAAGTCTAATAACTATTTTTGCATAACTTCAGAACCTGATCAACAATTGTAGCTTTCAAAAGCCGTTGTCAACTCTGATCTTATAAGATATGCATGTCCTTTAGATAAGGGATCATATATTCCTCCATTCTCAAGATATCGTATAGACACAATACATGAATTTTAATCATTCTATCTATATTGTTTCCCGACTTTCAATTTATGACGACTGACAACAAACTACAATTGAACACATCAACTTAGTCCCGGCTTGGTCAAGCGCTTAGGTGTCATCACTAAATCATCGAGGGGTCCACACATATTGCTTTTATCCCACTTTGGGAGAAAGGAATGGATAAACCTCGACTCAAATGCTTGCTTGCACTTACTCATCGAATCACACACAACAATAAGTTTTATAACACTAAGTTACTGGTGCGTTTACTTATCATCAATGTGTAACTGAACAGCAAATAACACCTCACACGTCTCGATTTCAAGAATATACAATATTATCGACTCACAATCACTCGTGATAAAATCCATGAAGTGATTCTTATGAGCATGGGTTTAATCCAATACTCTAATCTTATTAAAGCACTAATGAACTCTGCAACAAACTTGTGCTATGTCTAAACTTTTAGACAATCTACAGACTCTTCATGACAGTCTTGCTTCATACCTACTTCCAACATATGACTGAATGTGGAGGTTCGAATAACCCAGTTATTCTGGAAGTCAAAACATGCAAAATCGAAACACAATAATACTTAATCCTATATGGCCCCAAAACTTTTAAGTGTAAATAAAACACTTTTATTTAAACACCATATTGATTACTTATTATTAATTGTTTAATATTTCAGCTAATCAACTTATTACTTATCATTACAACAACAGATGCCCCATGCTCTGAGTATGCACACTATGTTTACCTATGATCCATACTTTGTGAAATAGACTAATTGAAAACTTTTTCAATGATGCTCATTTCACAATTCCTTATCCTTATCATTGGTGTAAGAATACAAACTTCTTACCACTATTAGAATATGTTAGATTCTAACATTTTATAGCACAAAAGTCACCAAGACTTGGCCAATGAAATTACAAGGTTCTCTATCAGAAATTGTTACAAAAAAATTCTATAGACGTGATGTCTCTCACTCAAAGTACATTCATTTGAACATCTTTTTTGCATAAAATTTTATAATCTAGACATAAATTCTTAATTTCCAACTCCCAATATGGAAACATTTCCATATTTTCCATACGACAACTCATTCTTAATAGAATCTTATCTATTCATAATAATGTCGATATGGTCCATCCAACACTATACATCCAACTACTCACAAGCAACAAATCCTTGGAGAACCTTAGATCATTCTTTGATAGTTGTCTAATTATTTTAGTCAAAAACCGTTCTAGTTCCTTTTCCCTCTTAATGCGCTAAGCATTTGGAAAAATTTTAGAACGATCAAACATTATAGCATATGCAATCGATCCTATACCCGAAGCATATGGTACACGATTCATAATGTCTTACATAAAGACGTGATACTTTACCAGTCTTTGCTATAATATTTCTAATTGTCATGTTCTCACAATTTTGATTATGAAAAGGAATGTCGTAATCATAACCAAAATTTGAGAATGCAATTATCCTTTCCTTATATAGAATTTCCTCATGTTGAACCATTCCAACACAACATTCATATATATTTGACTAAATTTGATTAAAATTCCACAATCTAAGCCTTTAGATTTGAAATGAAGTATAATATTCTCTCCCTTAATTATAGCAAAACAACTTTTCAACCCTTGCGACTTTGCCAAGTATAACTCTTGTTTTCTATAATTAATATTGCTAACTTTCAATACTTACCATAATAATAATGCTCCCACTAACATGATGATTATTTCCTTATTGGCATAACACTTATGCTCCCACTAGCTTTGACATGTATTCAGAAAACAACTGAACTTCCAGAAAACAATGCTTATTGAATTCCTTAAGTTCATATTTCTAATACTAGATGCTTTGATAATCCTTTATCTAATCTTCTTAAACTCATACACCTTTTCTTAGATAGCTTATGTGTGTCTAAACAATTTTAGAACTTATGTTACTAAGTCCCAAATGTTCAGACTAATTGCCAAATATCACAATTCAAACTATGAAAAGGGATGCCGTAATCATAACCGAATTTGAGAATACAATTTACACAACTACTATCTCCTTAAAATCTATCTTAGTGAAAGCATTTCCTCACAATCATTTTCATGAAGGAGGGAAACGTTATGCCACTTAGATTTTATGATTTATGCGTTCGTATCCATGTAAATTTGTCATAAAAAGACAAAGCTCTTGAATGCTAATGAATCCTACATTCTTCCATTGTTACAAACTTTACAAGACCATGCTTTCTTTAAGAGTTACCTTCCTTTTTGTAGCTTGTAATATCTTATTGAGATTGAAAAGGCTCGAGAGTATAAATCTCTCTGGCAATAATTTCCACAAGAGCATCATATCATGCCTAACTGCACTTCCATCCCTCAAGATTCTTGATCTTTCCTTGTCTAGTTCATTGGGAAGTTACTTTCCCGTCCAAGGTATGTTTAATCTAAATGAGTCACCATTAAAGAAACTAAAAGACTAAATTTTATCTTGAGTATTATTATTTTTCGTTCTTTCTGATATAGTTGTCTTGTTGAATTGTTTGACATATCTCTTTATCTAATTTAGAATTTCACAATTTCCCTGATTTGGAAGTCCTCCTGTTGAGAAATAATAGTTTCAATGGAACACTACCAATGGAAGTTAGTGCCTTTTCTTCATTACTTAATGCAAATCAATGTTATTGGTATGATCAACTCATCCTAGAGATGAAATGCATCCACAACTACAACCATCAATAGCACATAACTTGTAATAATTCCATTTCAGGGTTTTTGTTTAGTAACCCTCCCTTGTTGTCATCCAGCTTATGCATCTTTCCGCTATTTGGAGGTCTTAGATTTGAGTTACAACAGTTTTGTTGGGAGTGCCCCTTCACCAATACAAGCATTATCCTCCCTAAGAGCACTCTCATTCACTTACAATAAGCTTAACGCCTCATTGCCGGATCATGGTACGTAAGTTATCTTAAGCATAAACGATTAAAAGTCTGGGATTGTTTAGGATAAATGTTAAATGCAATGTTCTTATGGTATCACTAAATTGGTCACATTACCTCTCCCCATGGTTACTCTTCGTGTTGCCATAAGACCATGCAAAGTACAAGTACTCGTTATGTTTCTTAAAGTGTGTGAACCTCAATCTTTCTCCGTTAGCAGGGCTCTGTGAGTTGAAGAACCTCATTGAGTTGGATCTTAGTTACAACATGATGCATGGAAGTCTGCCTCAGTGTTTTAACAATCTATCATCTCTTAAGTTGTTGGGTGTATCTTCAAATCAATTCTCAGGGATACTTGTGCCATCACTCATTGCTAATCTCACATCTCTCGAGTACATTGATTTTAGTCATAACACATTTAAAGGTTCATTCTCATTCAGCTCATTTTCGAATCATTCAAAGCTTGAGGTCATTCGATTTTTAAGCAATAATGAAAATTTTGAGGTGGAAACTAAAGAGCCTATAGGTTGGATTCCAATGTTCCAGTTGCAAATTCTTAAGCTATCTAATTGTAATATGAAAATGCCTCCTGGGCTTCTACTTCACCAGCACAAGTTAAGACGAATAGACATGTCTCAAAACTCCTTGGAGGGACAATTCCCAAATTGGTTGATTAAAAATAATATCAATCTGGAACTTCTGAATCTAACACACAACTTTTTTGGCAGTATGCCATTGTATAGGAATGCTAATATGAGGTGGTTGGATATGCCTGGAAATCACATGATAGGTATTATTCCCGACAGTATACCAAGGTTCTTTCCCAACATGCTTCATTTGAATTTGTACATGAATGCTTTAAGTGGTGTTATCTCATCCTCAATTGGTGAATTGAGTAAATTATGGATACTGGATTTATCTGGGAATGAGTTATCAGGAGAAGTACCAAAGGGATTGTTTACAAATATCCCTCGGTTGGGTTTTCTAAAACTATCAAGGAACAAACTGCATGGGGAGGTACTCTCAGGAAACTTAAGATGGGGTAACATCCAAGGGGTTTACTTAGATAGCAACCATTTCACAGGGGAAATTGGAATTAAGAGCAAATAAAAGCTTGAATCTTTGACTGCTTTGGATATTAGCAATAACTTGTTTACAGGTATGATCCCTGGTTGGATAAGCAACATGAGTATGTTGTCTGAACTTGTGTTGAGAAATAACAGTTTCAAAGGCCGGTTTCCTTGCGAATCAGCTCCATTTTTGTTTTTGGATATCTCACAAAATTCTTTTTCCGGACCCATCCCACCCTGTTTGAATTTGCAAAATATGAAGCATCTTCATTTGGGTTCCAACAGATTTACTGGATCGATACCCAATTTCTTTCGTTATTTGACTAATGTTTTGACTTTAGACATCAGCAACAACGTCTTGTCAGGTATGATTCCTGAATTTATTAGTGAACTATCCTCTCTAAGGATTCTTCTTCTGAGAAAAAAATAAGTTTAGCGGTTCAATTCTCAAGCAGTTGTGCCAATTACGTAATGTGAGTTTGTTAGATTCATCGAAGGGATAATGACTTAGGAGGGTAATAACGTTTCTCGTTTGTCCATATTAGGTCCCTAACGTATTTTTTGTGTGTATCACACCATTAAGGTTGTTATAACCGTTTAGAAATAATCTCTTTTACCGGTTTCTTCCTGTTAAAAGGACTATTTGTAAACAGTTAGAATAACCTTAATGGTGTAATACGCACAAAAAATACGTAGGGACCTAAAATGGACAAACATGAAAGGTTATTATCCTCCTAAGATTTTTAGTATTTATTATTTTGAATATATATTTTTAAGATTTTTAGTTTTTATTTTTATATGTGTATTTCATATAAAGTTGTTGAAATTAAAAAGAATAAAAAGTAGAAAGGTTTGGATTGGATTTTGTAACCACATCATCCAATTAACATCTAGCAAAACAAAACCTCTAGCAAGGAGCTAGAGAGAAGAACAAATTAAGGTCGGATTGGATTTTGTAACCACATCATCGATAAATGAAAACACAGGAAGGTCCAAATGAAGCCAATGCCCAACCCGACTCCAAACCTGATCAACAACCAAAAACTACAACAACAAATGCTTCACACTTTCTTGAGAATTATGACACATAGGACACAATAAGGAATCTATCACCACCCCCTTTTTTTAGCTCTTACCGGAATACGATCCAAAAGCACACACCATAAAAAATGTTAATTTTAATAGGGACAAAACGGTTCCACCTAGTAGGCATACTACCCATAGGAAGCATCATATCATTAACCCAATTCTATGCTGATTTAACAGTAAAGATACCCGACTATTCAAGCTCCCAAGACCACTTATCCGACATTTCCCCTATGCGAATATGATTTAATATCTCCACAAGATAATCAAATTGGGTCGATTCAGCCCCTCCTCTAATTCCCCGACGCCAATGAAAATTCCATCCCCCCAAATCTCATTATTCACTTACTCGAGCATCTTGATTAAAGGCCAAAATAAAGAGCCTCCCGAACCGCTCCCTAAGAGAAATATCCAATCACCAAACATCCTTCTACAACCTCGTTTGAGTCCCATCCCCCACCACTTTATACATGGAATTAGAAGGAATGCAACCATTCTCATGGAGATGATTAATGGATCCTACAATCTTTTGCCAAACACCCCCTCCAATTCCTATTCTCGAATCGTCCGAAAAACCACCACCTTCCCCATGACAAAATTTGACAATTTTAACCCAAAGAGCTCCCTTGTCATTAAGAAACCACCACTTCCATTTATAAAGAAGGCCGATGTTAAAAGCATCCAAACTACCAACCCCAAGACCTACAAGTTTCTTATTTAAAAAGTAAAAATTTGTTATAGGGGTTTATAGTTTCATAGGGGGATAATGACTTAGGAGGGTAATAACGTTTCCCGTTTGTCCATATTGAGTCTCTAACGTATTTTTTGTGTATTACACCATTAAGGTTGTTATAACTGTTTAAAAATAATCCCTTTTATCGGTTTCTTCATGACTATTTGTAAACGGTTATAATAACCTTAATGTTGTAATACGCACAAAAAATACATTAGGGATCTACAATGGACGAACATGAAACGTTATTACCCTCCTAAGTCATTATCCCTTAATCGAATAACACTCTTTCCGGTTTAATACCTAGCTACCTACAAAATATTAATGGCCCAAGTTACCTTGTTTTCTCAAGGAAAAACATATTATTGTATTCCCATATTTCCCCTTACCATTATGGGGGTATTTTAGGGCACTCAAATTATATCAACCGTGATGGTGAAGCATTGAGAATACAAGATGAATTTGAGTTCACAACAAAAACGCTCTTTCTCTGCTACAAGGGTGACATCCTTGATTACATGACAGGATTGGATCTATCTTGTAACAAATTCACAGTGAGATTCCAGGAGAACTAGGGTCCTTAACTCATCTTCGTGCTTTAAACCTGTCTCACAATCAGCTGATTGGACCCATGCATTCCAGTGAACTTAAATCTTGCAAAGATAGAGAGCTTGGACCTTTCTTCATACGGGTTGACCAGAAAAGTTCTATCACAACTCATTAAGCTTACCTCTATCTACTTTCAATGTTTCTCATAACAAACTATCAGGCAGACTCCCATAAATGAAAGCACAGTTTGGTACTTTCACACTAGCAAGCTATGAAGGGAATCCACTTCTTTGTGGACAACCACTAGAGAAGAAATGCACGACTACTAATTCACAGGTGACCAATTCATCAGTTGAAGAAGATAACGAGAAATGGTATGATATTGATATGACATGCTTTTATGCAAGTTCTGGTTCGACATGTTTTGTGTTCTTAATGGGATTTGTTGCACTTCTTTATGGGATTTGTTGCACTTCTTTACATCAAGGTGGCTAAATTGGGTTGAAGTTTGTATGTTTGCATGTTAATACTTCTTTTATGATCCAGTAACCAAATTCTCCATGCCCTTCTGTAAATAGGATCTCCTCACTAAGAATGTGTAAATAAAAGTAAACCTGGTTTCATATGTAAGTATATTTGTCTCTTTGATATATGTACAATGACTGTTTCTGATGTGCACATGACTTTTGTGTTGTATCCGTGCTTCGTTCTAAGTTATGTGTATGTGTTATGTTTATGCTTCATTTTCTGCCTCATATAACTCCAATTTCCTCTAACTTAGACAATGCATTTGGAATGATGACTTTCATCAGTTATTGGTTATTGATCTACAACTTTCACTTAAGCTATAATTCCATAAACACCAAGTTTCTCTTTTATCTTATTGAAATCAACTACTTTTAGAGCTGTTGCAAAAATTTCAGGTATTTGATCCATGTTTCTACATAGTTGGACTTCAATCTACTGAGGTCACTATTAAAATGATACTTCCTTCCTATATATGTGCACTTTGATACATAAAGAAGCTTAGTTAGCATATCAGATTACTTGAGAACTCATTTTTGAACAAGTAATATACTTATAATAATAATCACAAATAACGAAAATAATTGTATAGAACTACCTTAGTAATAGGTTAATGACTTTAACATGGTTTTATTTCCTTGACTTGAACAATACGTAAGATACATATCCATAACATTGAACAATTAAAAACCAACAAAAACCTACTATGCATTGCCAACAACAGAACCAACAAGATAATAAAAGAAAGTGGATTTTAAAGAAAAGGAAATTCATAATTTATAGGGACAAATCAGCCAAATCAAACGTCCTTTCAACTGCTTTGCACCATGAGGCCACCTTCTTCTTCCTCAACTCCTCATCTAACACAGGATTGAAAGTGGTATCTTTCTTCATTCTCTCCCCATTTGCAAATATCTCTTCTTCTGTCCAAACTCCAACTGCTAAACCAGCTGCATACGCTGCACCAAGTGCTGTTGTCTCTATATCTGCTGGTCTCACCACTGGGCTACCCAATAGATCTGCCTGCAATTTCACTTTTAATTACACAATCCAAAAAAAAACTAATCACAAAACTAGTAAAAAACAAGAACAAATTAACCTGAATCTGCATAAGGGTATTATTCACAGTAGCCCCTCCATCTACCCTAAGTAAAAACTGTCCCTTTTCATTTTTCGTTTCACCTTTCTCACCAGCATCTTTATGCATTGAATCCAACACATCTTTCACCTGAAAACACATACTTTCAAGAACAGCTCTAGCAATATGAGACTTGTTTGTAAACCTTGTGATCCCAATACAAACACCACGTGCATCATCACGCCACCATGGTGCAAAAAGCCCATTGAAAGCTGGAACAAAGTAGACCCCACCGGTTGACTCAACCTGTGAAGCCAACTCCTCAATTTCACTAGCGGAACGTATAATTCCAAGACTGTCCCTCAGCCATTGAACAGCTGCTCCAGCAATTGCAATTGAGCCCTCTAGAGCATAGTTTGCAGGGGCATCTTTCCCGAGTTTGAAAGCTAAAGTGGTTAACAAACCATGTTTTGATGGAATCACTTCTTCACCTGTGTTAAGAAGTATAAAAGCACCTGTCCCATAAGTGCTTTTTGCCTCTCCTTTCCTACAAGATTGACCTAACATTGCTGCATGTTGATCGCCTAAACAACCGGAAATAGGGATTCCCGGAATCAGCCATTCCTTTCCTATGTGACCGATTACCTCGGCATTGCTTACAATTTTTGGTAGAATGGCTTTAGGGATCTTTAATGTTTTCAAAGTCGATTCATCCCAATCAAGTGTTTTCAGATTCATGAGCATGGTTCTTGATGCATTAGAGACATCAGTGACATGTATGCCATTATCAATGCCTCCAGTTAAATTCCAGATTAACCAGGAATCAATGGTTCCAAAAAGTGCATCACCTTTCTCAACTGCTGCTTTCACTGCATCCACATTTTCCAGCAGCCATAAGAGCTTCAGTGCACTAAAATATGTGCTTATTGGCAAACCACATGATTCCACAAAGTGGGATTTTCCCCCTGATAATTCTTTCTCCAATCTCCTACATAATGAAGAGTTTAAAGATAGATTAATTGATATACTTGTGATGAGTGTGGTTAAAAAAACATTACTTTTTTGTGTA